TCTGTCTGTCTGTCTGTCTGTCTGTCTGTCTGCCTGTCTGTCTGTCTATCTCTTTCTTTCTACCCATTTTTTCACTTGCGCCTTTCAGGTGAACGACAGCCGCTGAACGACAAGAAGAAAACCGGGAAGGAAACTTGGGCAAAATCCTCGATCCTGTTTATCAATCCGTGAATCCATGTCAGCGTCTCGCGGTCTGGAACGGGCTACTTCTCAGGGCCTTATCAATCCGTGAATCCATGTCAGCGTCTCGCGGTCTGGAACGGGCTACTAGTATCTCAGGGCCATAGGGGCCGTATGCGATAATGGTATAAAACCGAATGTCACTATTACCACAACCTTTCGGTTCTTCATTTTCGTGGCCTATGAGGAGTTCATGAAAGAATCCGTAGGATTTTGATAATAAATAGAAACTTGATTTGGTTTATATTCACTGCAACAGCATTTTGAATTGTTTGGTCTAGTCATTCTCCGTCTTTGTGTAAGGTGTAACGTTTTTTAAGTATAATCCCGGGCGACTTACACCGTCTCTACATGCATGTGATGAGAGTGTTGTTGACACAAATCAGCGATACCTAAACCGCCATTCAGCGACTAAGTATAGCTATGCAGTCAAAAATGAGGCAGTTATCGTGCAGGTTCAATTCTTGTGTGACGAACTAACGAAAATTGTTTACGCGGTTGTGGTAATAGCATCAGTTAATGCTGTTGCGGAGCTACGATTGCGGACCTAAAATGGTCATTCCATGCTTGTTCCGCTTGCGGTCCGGGTGTCCACGACATGTGTAGCGGGACCTATTCTGCCGAAGCTGTGCACATCCTCCAGTGGATTGGTGTCAAGTAAGATGATTTCGTGGTATAATATCTTGTTGGTTCAGAGAATAAATCTTCAGAAAAACGCAACATAACTAGAGGGGTGTTGGAGTACTTTCCCAGTCATGAGTGTGGCTCTACTCCTTTGTCCGAAATGAGTCACAGCAATGATATGATGCTGCTGTAGAACATTTTGTGAACGATGTCTCAAGTGGGTGTTGTTCGGAAGATTGTGATGTAAACATACGTCCTTTGTTGCCGAGCACCATGGTCAGTCGGTGATTCTGTTGGTTGAGCCTTGTAGGTGAATTTATCACTAAACGACATTCAACCATCAGTTACTGTTGCTGAGAATAGTGTAGCAGTACATGCTTCCCCCAAAGGCAAGCCATCTAGGCTGAGTGTTGCTAGAAATATCATCGGATATTTCAAGGCAGTTGTCCGCCTGAGATCGTTTGATTTCGATCCTTGCTGTCGCTTCGTGGGAACGTTTACTGTCCAGGTTTTCGCAGGTCGTGTGCCAAGCTGTAGGCTATCCACAAGAGGTGTCACAGGCGCATTAACGGTGAAAATGCTGACAGAAGCATCCACATTTTTAACGGCCTATTACCGATTCTCCTCATTTATTTCAAGGGTACCACTACGGAAAACATTTTTTATAATTCTGTAATTTGCTTGAAATCATTCAAAATAAAATTATTTCCCAACGGATGAGTTCAAACTCCCTGACAACGCAAGCGTCACGGCAACGAAGGAAAATGATATATATATATATATATATATATATGTCTGTGCAAGCAAGCTGACTTGACACGATTGCACTATTATGCTATGCCTGCCACTTGAGGATGATCCGGCCGAAGCAGTTGAGGTCATAGGGGTACGCATACACAGACACCACTTTAAAGATGTTAGGATGAGATCCTTTCAAAGTGTCATGAATATGTTTGAAGATATTTAATATACCAGTTCCACCGCTGGCGCCACCGAGTTTACAGACTTAATATAATTTGGCTTCTTGTAAGTAGATGAACATTTCCACGGGAAATGTGAATGCAAGGAAAATCCTAATATGATCCAAACTTCAAGATGCGTCCAGAAAATAGAGACGCGGTAGTTTTTGGATGTGTAAAAACTATGTGCTTATTAGCGGAATGCCAAAGATTGGAAATAATTCTAGGAAAACAGCGCAGATCGCATGAATGTTTTTGTATCAGAAAGCGATTACAACCGAGATTCCGGCTGGTAGACTGGGATATGTTGCTTAAATTCACAAGATCGGCATGCGAGAGGCGGAGCAGCACTTTACAGTGGATGACAACTGATTTTGTGGCTCCGTTTATTTTGTGCACTATCAATTAATTCCTAGTCATTTGGGAAATAAATGAACAAATGACAAGCGGACTGAGAGAGAACATCCACAAGGTTCGAACAGTGTTCATTATGTACAGTTTTCGAGCACTATTAACCACGGACGGGAATCACTACACGACAGGGCAATCTCAATAACCTACATCCTTCATTTTACACCTAGAAAGAGACCAGAGCATCATTTTCTGGATATAACGTCACCGGAGAATATACGCATCTTCCTTTGAGTCAGAACAGAATGACAATATAAATAATTGCCCGCCAGTTCCAGATGCCAAAATAATAATGAATGGCATGTATCAGCCTGTCATTGTACCGGAATGCCGTTTGAATAGCGTGCTTTAGGCTGTCCGATTGATGGGTGAGCCATTTGAGTCGATCATTTGAATTTTCTAACAAGTATTTTTGCCCGTATTTTCGCCAAGATGGACGGCCCCTGATTGTGCCTAAGTTGGGCGCTTGAAGGCAATGGGCTGGGAAGTTTGACACAAGTGTAAATTCCTTAGCCCTAAGTAGCTACAGCTGGAAAGTCATGTACATGCCAGCTGCCATCAGGGTAGTCCACGACCCATGGGTATGGTTACAACCATGTGTTTTAAGAATTGGGCTATCGAGAGCGGTCAAGGCGGGCAGCATTAATAGAACGTCGGTAGGGTCGCAACAAGATGGCATTGGCAAGAAGGATGCCACTAAATTATTTACAACTAACCGTTTGGATGGAAAATGGACCAGTCTCACAATCGGTTTGTAATAATCTAAACCAGTTATGGGTCTTGAAAAAATCCACTCAATAAAGAACGAAATTTTCACGTAATTCCATAAGTCCATGCTGCCAAACAACCAGCCACGCCGGCCTGAAGTTGAAACAGTTTATTGTTCAATATCGATTCACTATATCCCCTAGTACAACATAATACTAACTCAGAACCACGTCAGGACATGGGCTGGTGTGAGGGAAAAGTCTACCCCGGACCCACCTGGTATCACTGCTTCTCTGATTTGGTTCAGCGTTCACTATCGGACCAATGATCGTCACACACTATGTTGGTGGATACCCGGCACTATGCGACAGTGCGGATCTGCGTGCAGAGATCCAGAGTGGGTTCTTCCTGGTGGTGCCAAATATGCAACGCTATTCAGTGTTCACTATATGTGTTATGACTGATCTAAAAATATAACAAAAACTGCCACCATTCTACCGTGATTTCTAGCGTCAGTTTTGTGAAACACGGCAAAAATCTACTCGAAGAATTTAAGATAATGCTTGTATGCATATTTATGGAAAATCAAACTTCACTGAATGCGACTTCCGGCCAAATGCCTCTAAAACATTGAATTTTCGGGCAACTGACTGAAACTCAAACACCAGAATCACACAAGAGAAATCAGCAAGTACAAAAACACCGAATCTCTGCAGCTGCCACATCGTGCACTCGCACACCGACGTCTTAGCTTACATAAACAAAATAAAAACCACTAAGTGTGGAGAACGGGCCGGGTTCTTTTACTAACAGTGCAGACGAAGATGAACGGATATCGCGGACCGTCTCAAACTTCAGACATGACACTTAAGAGCATCAGCGCTTTTCGACCTAAAACAAGACACATCACCCAACTCTGCTTTTACATGTGAATGGTATTTTGTTCGTGTCCCCATAAAGTGTATAAGTTGCTGATCAACAACCACCGGACACAAAAGCAAGTCGAACATAGTGGGAAGCGGAGATCACACAGTAGACAAATCAGAACCCCGGGACCAACAGTGGACGATCTAAGTTAAATAAGTCGAGGCCAGTCGGTATTACAAATAAAAGCAGGGCATATATACAACAGCTCAATAAGGCTTCCGAAAGCAGTTCTTTCATTGTATTTGGATAATTGACACGCACCAGTTTGTAACAGAACCAGCTGCCAGGCGAACTTGATTGAGATGAGGATAGCACCTGTGGCAGGTTCACCACTCAAAGGTGTAGACTGCCACTGCTGGACGATATTTCTACGAAGATGACCAATTGCGTGCAACATTCAAAACTAAATTATTCAGATGTCCACGGAGAATTCAGGAAACAGACTATTAACAAGAACTGTGACCTGTTCCTGCAGGCACTTGTCGTCCAGAGTGAACAGTGTTAGCTGATTATGAAATCAATGCTGTGAGGTAAACAGAGTCGATATAATCCTCAACGACCCCACCATTGATAGAGTGACTGAGAGAGAGCCCTGATTTTGAGTAGATTCCATCTGTCAACCGACAAACCTATGGTTTGTACTAAAGAAGGACGATTGCGTTGGGATACCTGTAAAACCCACATTCACTTCACATTCGAATGAACAGCCTTCTTGTCCAGGCGCAATTATTCTAATGGGTCAACGAGAAGAACTGGACTAGTTTTACTCTTATTAGAGCTCATCACCAGCGCAGATCATTAGACATGTCGGCGTTTGCACTCCGGATATCTGACACAAAGGTCCAGCGTATTACCACTACCGGCTAGAATCGCCTGATGCTATATCCTGTCCGATTACAAATTAACCACACTGCTGAGCATCCACTCATGGTTGAATGGTAGTGTTCACTTAATAACCAAAATATCGCGTATTCGAATTTCTCTATAGCTTCAGCACTAACCGTCAAAGTAGAGTGTAAAACAGACGTAATACACTACTAGTAAAATTGTTGGAGATTCTTCGGCAGGCCACGACCGGTTCCGCTCTTCTTGAGGCTCAAAAGGTAGGCGCAGTCTCTCGCAGATGAGTCTCGCAAAACCTCTTTTTGCAAATAAGTGTATTTTGCTAATCTCGTGTAATTCGGTTTCAAATAGAATGTAAAGTTGACGGAAACTCGGGGACTGAGCCCCTAGAAGAGCGGCATCGGTCGTGGACTGTCGGAGAGTTTTCAGCAACCTTATGAGTGATGTGAGATGTAGTCTATACATACACCACGATATCTCAAATACCGTACCAACTGAAGCATGAGGCGGCCGAGTGCAACACATTCAGTTGCTTAGAAACGTCATAAACGAGCGTCTCATCTGGGTTCCAGATGAGTCACTCGTAAAACTAAATTTGTTCGCAAATGAGGATATTTAACTAAAGCACACAATATATGAAAAACAAAGATGACACATGCAGGGGATGGAACAGGAAGCACCAGCCCTCAGGAAGTTACCAACCCCGGTGGTTTCCGAAACAAGGGAATAGGAGTCGTTCATGATAGACAGAGTTTCTTCGCCCTACACAGTGTTGCAAGAGGTGACGCAAAACGCGCACATATCGCAACCCTACTCAAATATTGGATTCACAAACCAAACAAATCAATCAGAACCGACTTACCTAGCGCCTGCAAGACGGAATCATTTCGGATTCAACTGCCACTCGGGACAGATATGCAAAGCACTACAAAAACCAGGTATAACCGGGTTTAACGAGGTATAAAACCGGTATAACCTGGTCAACTCATTCCAAAGATTGAATCTCTGAGAGGACCGCGACGTTACTGGAGACCCGGCGACAGTGCCTTCCTGACCGCAAGCACAACTCAGCTCGACGCATCATCCGCTGCTAGGCGAGACTGATTGTCTGTGGAGAGCGAGAGGCTTGGTAAAGCCGAAAGGAAGAAATGGAAAACGCGAAAAATTCTGGAGACGTCCACAGGTCGTTCTACTTGATTGGTCTTCGACAGCTTCTTGTCAGCAAAACCATCATGGACCAAAGTGACTCTATGATATCCAGCAGAGGAAAACGCTAGGACTCCTAAGCAACATTCACTTGTCCATCTGCTACCGTTCTGACAGCCTTCGACAGAAAGTTAGACTGTGAAAATAGAGCCCCATCGGCTCAAATAGTGTCCAGGAACTCAAACAGCATCGTGTTGCTGAACCTCACGATCTTCTTCAAGGTCCATGGATTTCTCAACCAGTGCCCGTCCAGCCTACGTACGTCCATCTGGGAGAAAAAGGCTTTCCCACACAACTGGAGTGACTCACAAATAATGTCTATTCTCCAAAAGGGATTCTAGCGTTAGATATGACCACAGAGCGTCAGCCTGATCCGCTTCTAGTGTCCCTGATTCTTTACCTCAAGGCGGCAAGCGAACTCTTGACCCACGAGTACCATGCAGGATTTCGACTGGCAAGAGACTGCGTCGACCACATCTTCACGTTATATCAAGCGTTGGAACAGGGCTATATATGTACTTATGACAAAAAATCTTGGTGTTCCCTGACTTCAAGTGTGCGTCCGACTCTGCCGATCGATCAATACTGTTAACCACACTTCTCACCAGGGTGTGCCCCAAAATTTTGTGAAAACAATCGGGTCCCTATATTCACATAACTCTGGGCATGTGTATGGTGACTGCTCGAAAAGCTTCACTAAAAAAGCGGCACCTCAAAAGACTGTCCACTCACTCTGGTCTTGCTCAATTTCGCCGTCGATTGAATAATGAGGCGAACCCTGGGAAAACTCCAAAACTCCGGTTTCTAGACCGTTGCTGGCGAGAATATTACTGATCTGTAGCACACAGACGATACAGTCGGGGCGAACCATAAGTACTGCTGAATAAACTGGTCACCATTATACCAGCTTTCGACGTGCGCCTTCAAATTACAGAGCCACGCATTAAACCCCATGCCCCTTAAAATTCAAGCAGTCACTGGTCGTCGTGGAAAACTCTACATACCTTGTTAGTTGCATTCTTTACGACGGAAATGTCTGGTGGAGTCAATGCACAAATTTCAAAGGCACAAATAACATTTGCTAATTTACATCATTTGTAGCGTCCAGCGGGAAACCACTGAGTCTCCGAGGTTATTGACCTTTGATGTACCAGAAGCGTTTCTGTTGTCGAATGGTATCAATAGATTAGTACCGACGTAATTAGCAAACGAGTATTTGGTTGTGAAGCGGGTACTTCAGTCATGGAAAGCATCTAGCAACGTCCTCTGCGGTGGTTTGGCCATGTGATATGCATGTCGATATACTACTTATTAAGACGAGTAGGGTTATCCGTGCTTCCTATAGATTGACGCAAACTTCGAGCTAAACTAAGTATGACTTGACAGGATTTGAAAGATAAAAACAATTTAGGTGCTGTTGGTGCGGTCCGCCTTGAAGAATAGGAACTAGGTCGTTCCCCACTTTTGGTTGAAGATAATGCAACAAATGCCCATTAGTCGATGTCAGTGGCACTCGTCAGATTCTTTTCGAACTGTCTGATTGAGTGCTTGGAGTGCAGGTATATGTCAGCATCAGGCCCCTTCTGCCACCCTTTCTTTTGTCTTCTTTTCCCCCTAAGTCTCCAAATAGGTAACCCATGTGGTTGTACGACGCAGGATCATCGGTTTCAACACTGATTTTGCTACCTCTGGCGCTCGTCTGTGTTGTTGAGTAATACAGAGCTAGTTTCCAGTGGTAACATGCGGCCGGTTTTGTCTGTTATGTAGAACATCGTAGCAATCTGTTGTGAATATGCTAAGGGAACTTCAACCGAATTGCTAACAATCCTTCCCAAATGCCATGGGTCAGAAGGGAATGCATTTCAAAATTAGTTCGGCGGACATACTCGTCTAGTTGATACGGTAAGCTCCAGAGGAGCAGCGAAACCGTCAATCCCATATTACAGTTGCGCAAAGTCATGTTATCTGAACATCAGACATGAAGTTGATAAGAGAACTCAGTTTTTTATGTGCAGGAGTGTTCCACAAATGAACTGAAAAGCTTGAAGACGGACGGAGGACAAATAATCTACTTCAGAGTCAAAGCCAACTCTCTATAATTTACGTTGAAGAAGCGAGCAGAACGAGACTAGGGTCCGCGATCCATTTCAAGACCTCGAAGAGACTGAATTCATGTACCTTGTGCTAATCGTCCCCTTATAAGCACACGATGGCAGTAAAAAGGTCTCTTTACCCCATCCAGAAACAAGATTAGAAAACAAGCTTCATAACCAGATTTATCCAAAAATAGCTGGAAGATTGGTAAAGAAAACATTCAATTACATCATTAAGATCGGAACAAACGTAGGAGGATATCTAGTCAGTGATGGAAAAATATTCGCCAAAAATGATCGAAGCAGTCAGAGGAATTGATTTCACACACGCATGCTGGACACTACCTAAATGTTCACAAAAATATTCTTCAGCAGCAGATACCGTAAAAGTAATGCAGTGTTGCGTGCATCGTCTATTCCACAATGTGGTCGACCTTCGAATGTGAGTCCAACCAGACGTAGAGCATCAGAAAGTCCACCATGCCATCGCTGTTTCGCTTGGCTTGAACCAAGCCACTGCTAAATCACAAAGACAGATGAACGATAATACGACAGAGATTAGGGCAAAAACTACCACAAGTCTGGAAGTGATGTCATAGTGCTACGAATGTATATTTCCATTTTTTTGTCACGAGCTCCATAACAGTGAGAGTTCGAAAGTAAAAATGCTATTGCACGAAACAAGACAATCACTTTCATGTTTCCATTATGAACTTTTGGAATGAACAATTTGGGGACATCAGTAAAAGGCCACTTGAGGTTCGTACGGTCCCAATTACGCCCGGTTGGAAATACAACTAGATATGGATGCTGCTCGATGTTAGCGCTATTTCTGTTGTCAGTATCTATCCAGATTTTCTGAACTAGTGTCTGGATGTATGTGAACCTTGAGATGACTGTGGTGGACGCGCAGGAAGCCCTACTTTATCTACCTTTATTCTTATCTTCGCAACAAGGCTTTCAAAGAAATTATGGTTGTACGGTAGCGAGGCATCACTGCTGAGCATGACCATATACTCTCCAATTGGGTTCAGTACTCGGAAACTGGACGATTATTCCCTGGTGAATATGCAACGCCCTCTACATTTAGCTCTGTGTCAACATCTTACGCGTTCTCTTAGCATTTTTACAGGTTGGAACCGTCTTTCGTAAGCTCGCAATTTCTTACATCACCCGAAACCTAGTGAACTCTATTTCAATGCACATTGGTGTCAGACACTATCTCCTTGTTTACTGGTACACACACATTCACATTTTATCAACTTATCGAATGTACCGTAAATTTACAGACTACATTACGGAGTTCCACTCCCACCGGATAAAAGACGACACTACAGACAGAACTTGAATTCGTCTGGTCGTGCAGTTTTTTTCTCGTCCGTAGTTGCCACATGACCCGAAGACTAGGAAAATACAAAGTTGACTGAGACTATAAAATAGGCATCGGAATCTCAGGGTTAGAATCTAACACAGATGTTCGATGAGTGGCTTAAGCTTAAACCTTGGAAATGGAGAACAATCACCCAGAAAACAGGTAAGAAAAATCCTCTTTTTTCCTCTTTTCAACTATGGTTGCCATGCATGAGAATCGTACATACGAAGGTAAGGTGAAATTATTTGTTCATTTACAAAGGCTTATGAAAATTCAAAAGGGTCAACTAACCTGAAATATTGCTTTCATATCGATTCGGTTGAGCAGATCATTTGGTAAAGGTAACTTTTTCCGTCTACACTCGTTCCACAAGCAAGTACCAATGTCCCAGTCTGTACACAAATAAAACATCAGTCACGATGGACAAAACCACCAACCTGTCCAAGTTACGAAAATTGCTGTAGCGGCATCTGTTGGTTTGAACCTGCAACTCAACTGTTCTTTTTTCTGTTTCAACCAAAGATCGAATTCTTTTAACACTACAGATAGGTCGTCCGCCTTTTTCACACTGTCCTGGGTCGGTCAAGCTGTGGGTAAAGGAGTCGCTGGTAGACAGACCTGATGTATTCCAGTTAATTTCGTACAGAAGTCGCTCAATATCGGGTTTTCCGTAGGTCGCACGTAACGTCTGAAGCTATCCACAATACGTCCATCCACAGAGTCCATAACTACAACCGGAAATTCAACTTCTCATACTTGGATGAACACAAGATATGGACTTACTTATCTCCGGCAGCATGGTATCGGACTGATCCTTGCAACAAGTAGATTCAAAGTCCAACACAAAATACCACCGCACCTCTTCAAACCTCGTAGTTCTACCATAAAGAAGCACTTACTATTGGTAAAGTGTGGCGGTTGTGCCTTGGGTCCGTAGAACGGATATACTGCCCCACAAGCACTGAAGCGTATTAGATTATGCTGGGTTCCTTACACTGCCTTTTGTATAGTATTTTCCATTATGAAGATAAGCACGCCACATCAATTCGGAAGCCTGGGAGTCCTCGCATGTGGCGCATCGGGGAATGTTAAAAGCTTATGGAAGTGTTCAGTGTTGAACAAACTCACTGGAAGGTATATGGCAAATATTAAGCTGCTGCTTTTCAAGTGTATCGATAAAAGCGTGTATACGTTAACCCACTACTTATCAATGGAACAAGCGTTTTTTTCACTCCCATCAAGCATAGCGACTCTCACGTTGCTCTAGTCCAACTGTGAGGATTACTTCTTTCCATCAGTTGTGGAGTGGTGAAGTGGATCTCTTCCAGACACGAGCCTGAAGTGAAAAATGACTGATCATAAGTTGCGCGTGCGTAGTGCAGCGTGGTAGAGCATTCCACTGATTACTGATACGTCGTACAAAGCCACAGAAAAGAAAAGGTCCACTTTGAATTTAGTGACATGTAGAATGTAAAGGTGCCAAGCACGGATGTTCATCACTGTTGTCAAAGATGGTGCACTTGGTGGCTTTGTTCTTGCTGGCATCGACGACGAACACGGCCAAGACGTTTACGATGACGCAAAGAACCATGAGAATTGGTAATTGATCAGCTGTTGATAAGGTGCCAAGCACGGATGTTCATCACTGTTGTCAAAGATGGTGCACTTGGTGGCTTTGTTCTTGCTGGCATCGACGACGAACACGGCCAAGACGTTTACGATGACGCAAAGAACCATGAGAATTGGTAATTGATCAGGTGGCTGTTGATATGTTTGTCGAGCTTGCAAATCAACAGCAAGCTGATCAATTACTATGTAATGCACCCGAGCTACTAGTATTCCAACAAATAACCATGAGAATGTTGGCCATGGTGCGGTTTGTTACGCATGCATGACGAACCCATGATGAGCCAAACTAATGATGCCTTGCGCAGTAAGCGCCATTTCTCACGTTGAATAAAAGAGAACTCCGAGAAGGGAAGGACATTATTTCGCATCCGATCTACGCAGAGCAATTATCACAGACAGCAACATGTGTTGGCTCTGATGTTTGACTGCTAAAAAACACTAATTTCATCTAGTTATACTTAAGGCCTTAAAAAAAAAAGAAGAGAAAAGAGTGGGAGAGGGAAACGACTTGGTGCTAGTCTATCGCAAGTATTGTGACGTGCCTACAGTTCAAATTTTAATTCAATTTGTCAACTGTAAACGGTGTGCCACAGGCACATTGGTTTGGCTACCACATTTTTGACCACTGGGAAGTGGGCGTGTAGCCCACTTTCAAGCAAATGATTGACTATTGCTGAAGCCGGTATTGATCACACTTGAATCAGTAGTCGTATTTGGACGTGGGGGGGGGGCAGATAAGATCAAATGCTGCTCTATCCAAATCGGGGTAGGTCCCGTCTGTCTAAGTCGACGGGCACTCACAAGTGGAATGGCATACGTGATAAAGATCTTTCAGATGTGACATTTTTAAAGGTCATCTGATAACCAGTGTATCGAACGCAACTACCCGCATTCGTGTGGGGAGTTGACGGCGCGGTTGAACAATACACACGGCGGACAGCATGCAAATCTGACCCCAAACTGAAGCCGGTTTTGAACACACTTGAATCAGTAGTCGGATTTGGACGTGGGGGGGGGGGCAGATAAGATCAAATGCTGCTCTATCCAAATCGGGGTAGGTCCCGTCTGTCTAAGTCGACGGGCACTCACAAGTGGAATGGCATACGTGATAAAGATCTTTCAGATGTGACATTTTTAAAGGTCATCTGATAACCAGTGTATCGAACGCAACTACCCGCATTCGTGTGGGGAGTTGACGGCGCGGTTGAACAATACACACGGCGGACAGCATGCAAATCTGACCCCAAACTCATTCTAGCATATTCGCACACACCTGATGGTACAAATGGGGTGTGAGTTAGCTTAGCTGAGCTATGCTCTGCTATACTAATCTCTGTTGTCCTGCGCTTAGCCCTGATAAATCGGTCACACGTGGTGTGCGAGCGCATGCAAGACTGATTGTAGAAACCTGGTGTTGTGAACGGTCGAGATATTTTAGCTGGTGTATACATAAGTCCGCTCCCACATATTTCCGTAACATTATCAATATTGACATATACACACATCACGGGTAAATGCAAACCACTGGGTGGGGATTTTCATGCATTTCGTGGGCTTCAATTAGCCAGTAGAAATCTAAATGTACCATTGACAAACTGTAAATCATTGACGACTTTCGGCTGCACCATCAAGAGGTGATTTCGGATTCGTGTGTAACCAACTGAAGTCTTGCATCACACCGATTAGCACAAATCAAAAGTAACACCAGTGGAAATGCCTGATCAACACATAAAGAAACACATTCACTGTGTTCATCGACGACGTCTTCTAGCATGGCGATGATTGCTAAGCTAGGAATTCTTGTCGCTATCAATAAATGATAGCACATGAGGTGTGAACATAATGAAGAGCATCCACCTTGGCGATTTGAAGGTGCCACACGTATAATGAATTTGGACATAACTGAATAACCTAGTTTGGGTCATGAATCAAGGATACCATTGTACAGCTATGCAGGAGCGATATACACTGGCATGGTGGCCAATGTTATCAATCTAAAGTCGAGGGGCGTTGAACCACACTAGAAAGAGCTAAGACATATATGATCTTGACATCAAATTAACCTCTCAACTGCAGGAACACAAGTCTGAGCTGAAAGTAGTGGAAAGTGGATCATTAAAGGTGGTGTGATTCACTGACAGGCGCTCTCTTCGAGTCGTAAACTAATGCATTTCACTGAAAGATCGTGATATGAAACATGTATCAACCTAAAGGGTCAGCTATTCGAAAAACCAAGGACTGTCACCGTCTAGGTGAGATGACCTTTTGTGGCACGATGACACTTCACCTCAGCAACCTGGGGCAAACCAGAGGACGCACGGGGTCATTGCTATCACTTGTCAATGGATAAAGGTCTGACAAATACAGTCTCCTGGCATCCAGATTGGGCGTTGTTCCAAAACAGACGGACTCTCGTAGTAAACTAACGTAAACCACCGCTGCCTTGTGGCTAAGTTTTCGAGCCTAAGGCCTTGGTAAGAAAATCTAACTGTCCTGCTATCCAGAAATGGGTATCTTAGAAGTATGTCATATGCTACCAAGAAATACTCGGACACAAGCACTTTTACACCATATCCGTTGCCGTGTACATCTGCAACTTCGGAAAGAACAGCCCAGGTTTGTTGAGTGGATCAAATATCGCAAGAAGCGTTCGTCAACTTACATCATTTGGGGCGTCGGAACGAAATTCCACCGAAGATAAAGGGCTGTGTATACGGCGCAACTGTAAGAGCGGCCCTACTCAATGGTGATGAGATTTGGACCCGCTGTTTCGAAGACCTTAGGCACTTCCAAGTGTTTGATCACCGGAGTAAACGGATTGCAGAAAATCCGCAGCGAAGTGGTGCGTAAGCGGATACTTGGCAGTGAATCCGATTCATCGAAGCAGCATAGTAAACTGGTTGAAGTGGTTGTCAAATGTGCTACCTATGTCCAACCATCGTCTATCAAAGGCGTTGCTTTCTATTTCGGGTGACTGTTAGCGAAGGTTCGCGGGGAATAGACCACGATACGGCAACGTGAAACGAAAGCGACTAGTGTCCAAATAACAGCTGTGGAATCTTCGAGCCTTTCTGGTCAAAGTACATCACCATCGACAGCATGACATTAGTGAAGCTGAGGAAAATACTTCTTACCGAGAGTTATCCGGGCTGATTCGTCGAGCAACAAGCACTGACATACTTACGGGTGATATGAATGCCAAAGATTGTCGTCTGAGCTCCTTGGAATGACATTTGGGCGGTCGATTCGGAGTTGATGCTCGTCGAACAGACAACAAAGAGCGAATCCTTTATCGTGTGCTGATTATGATTCAAGTGGTCGGAACCTGACCTCTGCCCCTCGACTTCCCTGTTTAGGCTTGGGCAACCTGACAGGATCCGGCCCTCGTGCTTCCTTCGGGTAGCATGACAACCAGGCACCAAAAGGGTGTTACAGCTGAACGTTTCTTTATTATGAACTGTTTCTGCACAGACTTTCGCATCCCGTAACCTAGCGGCCAGCCACTGCGAACCAACAGTGGACCCGGTTGGAGCAAGTGGCCACCAGTCATCGGTGGAGAGCCACGATTGAAGACTGTCGCTCGTTTTGGGGCACACAACTTGATTCCGATCACGTCATGGAGCGTGATTTCCTGGGAGTTTATTTCTCTTTAGGTCCTCCCAAGTCAGAAAGAAGCATACCAATCCACCATATTCGAAGAATTATAATAGCTTGACAGCATAGATCTGACCTAGCTCAACAACTCTCTACAGTAAACCAATACTGTACTGGTAGTATGCACGTGGGTGAAGCATGGCCAAATGTGGAAACAGGTATGCAAGCGGCGTTCAGTAGTGTGGCTGACTTTTCAAATTCGACCAAAAGACCACGGCATGTCATCCAGATCGCTATCTATGATTAATGCCAGGAAACCCATACCAGCAGTCAACGAGTACGACCGGGCACGTAACTCTCTCAAACGCCAAGTAGTGAAGAGCTTAAGGAAAGACCAAGACTATGGTGAACACTGAAAGTTCGAAAGATGGAGAAGGCTCTTGCTACGTGGAACAGCCGTGCTCTATATTAATTAATACGATCGACTGGCCCTGGGAAAACAATCGTCAGTGAAACGATAAGCGGAATGATGACTTATTAATCCACTTGAAAAAACGCCGACTGAAAAGATGGGCCGAACACTGCAAATAACAGTTTAGCCGGCCTTCGTAACACAGCCTCTGGAGACAAGCAACACGAGCAAAGTGAAAATTTTAATCGACCGTCGGGAGAAAAAAGTACGAACTATCCGCACTGAGATGTGAGAAGGCAGAAGGACTGTATAGTCCGGGTCAAGCCCTGCTTAAAGAAGAGGGAGAACCCTTGGTGACCCATCTAACGAAGCTCATTGGTGGGAT